TTTTTTTTTTTTTTTTTTTTTTTTTGCTGTTGTCAACCAGGACTTCATCAACTGCAGAACACTCCCTATTTCTTAAGGGGCATAAAGTGAGTAGAGCTCATATGATGTTATTTACTCTGTACAAGAACTACTTCCCTTTTAATGAGAGTAATTTTTGTGAGGCTCGCTTAACAGGAAGCAGTGAGCTGGTACATCTCTGTTGCCACTGCTCCAGTTCATCACTTAACCAACTACCTCATAAATACTGGAGAAATAGAGAAGACATGACACCCGAGGTTGTGGTGAAACCTACCCAAACCTTCCTTGTGATCAGACTGGATCAGAGTGGGCCCTGCAGGCTCATCATAAATGAGCTAAAATATTTCTACAGAGAATAGTTTCTGATTCTGCAATTTCTCCAGGTTCCCTCATTAGTCCTTAATAATAGTGATGCCTCTGGTAGCCTAAGAATATCCTATTTGAAAGAAACATTCTAGTAGCATGTTTGTATTAGTCAGACTGACTGAAAACAAGTACGAGTACTGGAAGGCTTCTTAATGAATAATTTCAATGTAAAAAATTCACATAACAGGGTTCTGGATACAAGGCATAAGACAAATAAGTCCAGTCAGCACTGTTTTTAAATACTTTTATTTGGTTCAGTATGATCTACTGTTTTCCTTAAGTTCCACAAATTGCTATTTTTCCTATTTCTTCCTGGATCTCTGTTCATATTTGATATCATTTATCACAGAAAAGATTGCTTCCTGGGGAGTTCAGTTACACGTGCCATTCAAGAGATCCTTACAGGGACGAACGATGATAAAAATCATCCTTCCTTTGAATGTGTTTTGGATTACATTGCAGCATTATTGGATAGAGTTGTAGGGGGATACACGCAAGAAATACAGGGTTATTTGTGCACGTGGTTTGCCATTCCCTTCTTGACAACACTCAGTCTACATGCCTTTTCTTTATTTATAGGCAAGCAGCATGCTGACATTTCATTATTCCTTTGGCTCAACAGCTCAGAGTACAGTCACAGCAAGAAAAGCAACCCTTGTAACCATGACTCGCCTAAGATTAATTTCACTGGATTTCCCGAGAATTACTTAGTAATTTGAAAGGTAAGCCATGGTGTTAATTTGCAGGAATTTTGAAAAGAGAAGGTTACATTTTCAGTTAAAAAAAAAAAAAAAGAAAAGAATGGTATTGGTATGATAATGAAGACACTGGAAAATGACATAAATACAGTTTACATTTTAATAATAATTACAGGAGACAGTGTGTGCAGTCCTATTATGCAAGACAATGTTTGCCTTTATCTAGTGCTGGACTTTAATTAGAATGCAAGGGCTAAATGTCAGTCATAATTTATTCTTATTTGCGTTCATTACTGACAGAAACAGGAATGATCATGTATAAAGAAGCATAAATGGAAACGTGACGGTTTAAAGTTGTGCAACTGTAATTAAAAGGAAGAAAAAAGTGTATGAATTGAGATAGACTGTAGTTCATTTCAGTAACATTTTGGGGTACTATCATCATGAGCACATTAGAAATAACAAGGGTGGTATTTCATCTCCCGTGCTATTTTAATACAACTTCTGTCACACATTAATAAATTATGAACAGTTATGGAAGTATTAGGAAGTATTACTTTTCAGAAAGCGTGGTCAGGCACTGGAATGGACCGCCCAGGGAGGTGGTGGAGTCACCGAGCCTGGGGGTGTTCAAGGAAAGGCTGGATGTTGTGTTGAGGGACATGGTTTAGTGGGAGCTATTGGGAATAGGTGAACGGTTGGACTAGGTGATCTTTTAGGTCTTTTCCAACCTTGGTGATTCTGTGGTTGTCCCCTGGAAGTTTTTACTTGGGAATGATACACTATGAATATGATATTTATTTTCACAAAGGACTATGACTGTTGAAGCATTTATGAGTAAATTAAATGGAAATTGTATCTCTCAAATAGAAGGTGTTGGTCACTTAAGATAGCAAAAGACTTAAAACTCAAGTAGGAATTCACTTCTTGGGGAGAACAGGGAGTATATTTTATGTGCTTTAGTTTATTAAACTTGTTTTTAGACTCCCTAGGGAAAAATTAGATCTGTGAATTTCCAGAGATCTTGAACAATCACTTAAAATTAAAAAAAATTAAAAATGGATGTTGTCGAGCATTGAATTTTTTTCCAGTTCCTAGCTCATCAGGTGTAAGGTTAGCCCATGTAAACTCTTCTAGCTTCAAGTAGTTGGTTTTTATCAACAAAACATTTTTTTCACCTAGAAACAAAAGTATAAGTCATGCTGCACTCAGAAATCTGTTTCAGCCAACATTATGTCAACAGTGTTGGACTTGAGTTGCAGCAACTCTCGATTTGGAGAATTAATAACTAGATTTAAGTTGCCACTACTCACTAATGAGGCTGGAATGTGACCCGCACACCTAACCAGCCGTGAACAGAGAACACAAAGCTCTAGGCTCATTTCTACAAATGTCTAAATAATACATTTTCTTGAGTGCTAATCCAAAAAAGGATCAGTGCTGCTGCTGCAGCAGTCTATCAACATTCTGCAAGTGTAAGCCTCTGAGTGAACCAAGACACGGTTTATTCCAGAGCTTCTTAATATTTGTTTCCCTTTTGGTGTGAACTTATGTCTTATTCTGGGACTGGCTGATAAACCCACATTAATCCCCTTGGAGCGTTGTATTTGGTGTAATTGTGTGAGATGAGACCAACGTGTTGTCAGTATGTTTTACATTCTTTTTGCAAGTTTTTGCATTCCTTTTTGACTTATAAATCATTGTTTTGCCAGTAAGAACTCCTTTAAATACACTCTTCCGATATCGGTTAAATAGATGTGCTGTAGAGTATAAAGCCAAACTCCTGCTGCAACGTTGTCTCTTGATCTTTTACTTATCCACAAATAAGAATATCTGCCTTGAGTTTCACAGTGTGTACAAACCCAGCCTATCTGACTGGGGTGCGAAAGCATTAAAGAAAAGGCCCAAGAGGATCCTTTACTTTGCCTGTAGCTGTTTAGTTGGCAGTAGGGATGTAAGTTAAGCTATGAAATACTGACTTTTTTTTCTAGAGCAAACCCTCATTCCAATATGGATGGACAGATGTTTCTAATGTTTCTGAGAAACGAGCATGGAATGGTTGTCTTATTGTATGTTATGTTGCCCAAAGTTGGAGTAACATACTGTAGTGTAAGCTCAGTGAATCATCAGTAACTGTAGTGCAGTTGTTCACAGCTGAGCTGGAATGGTAGCTGGTTGCTGATCATCTGATTAACTGTAAGAGATGGAATGAATTTGCAGCCCAAAGAAAGAACATACTGTATGTGAAGACACGTGCATACACCAGGCAATAGGCCATCTTGCAGATTAAAGCTTCATCTGAGAGAGCTGCTTCAGGACTGATAGGTTGTTCCTGGCTACAGCACAGTGCTAAACACATGAGTTTTGTGAAGGTATCCTGGAAACTGATTCTGACACTGTCTTCCTTATTTTCCAGACCATTGAACTCCTACTGATCTGAAATTGAATGGTGTAGAGCTTCTTTAAACTGCTTCTGGCATTTAAATGGCATTGAAGGAAAGGATTTCACAGCAGATACGGAAGATTTCTGATAAAGTTACTTTGAGATGAGCATTCAGGAGATTTTGTCCACGGAAGAAACTTGGTTGGCCAATGGGAGCAGCAAGAAAGAATAAGGAAAGCACAGGTGAGTGCATCTGGGGTCCTTTTCACTCCACAAATCCACGGATGTTGCTTCATATCCTTGGGAATGTGAGAGATTCCTGTTAAAATGGAGTAAAGCCTGTTAGAGAGGGAGGAGAAGATTAGCTCTTCCTCTTAAGGTATAAAAACTGGAGGAAATTATACTCAACATATCTCTGCGTTTTGTGCTTTTACTCCTAAAGCCCTTGCAGAATGTGGCATTTCCTTTGCGAATTAAGTTGTTAACAGCAGCTGTAAGGTACAGACTGAATGCCTGTATATCTTGGAGAAAACAGGAGTGAAAAACCATGATTTTTCGGAGTGAAAGAAACATTATGAAACACTTTAAAGAAAGTATGAGTAGCTACAGTCTGAGGAAGGCAGAGATTTGAAGCAGGCTAGAGGAGTTAAAGTATATCTATATTGTGGAAGAGTTGAAGAGACTGGTGATGTAAAATCTTGCAGAAAAGATGATGTCGTTGAAGTCTAAAAAGGTTTGAATATCACACTTTCGGGGAATAGAAGTTAATCCAGGTTTTAGGTGAGAATTGTAGTCTACTGATATCTCTTAACAACTGGCTACAGCAAAGATCTGATTTAAGATGTAAGTTTTCTCTGAGGAACTGTCTGTGAAACTCTAGATTTTGCCAACAGTAGCTTGCAAAAATGCTGCTAACCTCTATCAGTCCAGACCTCATTGGATATGCCAGACACTTGGCAGGTATTTGGTTTTCACTTGGGTAACTAAAATGGGCGATTTGGTTACTGTCGTGCCATCAGGCTATAAATTTAATCTTTGTGTGTTTTTTAATGACGTAAAACTGTTCATACTGAATGATGCAATTCTGTAATTATAAGTGGTGGAAAAATTTGTGAACACTGAACAGGAATAAGTATATGCGAAGTAAGAAGGAAGTTTAAAAAAAAAAAAAAAGGATAAGGCCTCTACTGTTTGTATTGCAACAAACTTTGATATCAAAGGGTTTAACAAGAATTCTATCTCTGGCAGTAAAACCAGCGGATTGCTTTGTGGTAGCAATATATCTATAACATAAAATGATTTCTGTTATTTAGAAGGAAGCATAGTTCGGCAGGTCAATTTTTCATCCGGCTTCTAAACAGTACAGGAATCTCCTTGATAACTCAGGTGTTATTAGGTCAGAAACTACAGTTATTTAAACAAGTATGTCTAAGTGGAGTGCAGTACCCCTCAAAATCTAGCAAAATAGATTCTCATAAGCGTGAGTGTGAACTACATAAGTTTCTTAGTGTAAGCCTCATTAAAACTGATCTGGAGGCCCTGTTGATGGGTACACTTGCCATCATCTATTTTGTATTGACATTAAGTATTTAGAATAGTGATAATGGTACAAAACGGGAAAGACAGGAGTGATAGAATCAGATAAGAAGCAACAAAGACTCCTAATTGTTACTGAGGTATGCATGTCCTTCTTTATCAGATTAATTGAAAAATAGGTGTCTGAGAAACTCTGCTGTATTTCACACTGTGTTTGGCTGACTGGCTTAAAATGAGCAGGTGTCATCCAACATTCTGTCAGGGGGCCTAGCCAAGTACTCAATTAAAGCTATCTGTTTTTCCACTCCTCAGCCCTTATTTAAAATAAATTGTTCTAAGAAGCTGCAGGTTGTTGAATGTATGATTGAAAGCTGTCTGTAACAGATAAAGTATATTTTTTTAAAGCTGTGAACTGGTGGAATTCTATTTGTGAGAGTCTAATTTTTGAAAGAATTAAACGTTAGAGAAGTATATTCCCATTAGCAAACACACATTAAGGAAACTAGATTTACAACCTCATTAATATTAAACTCCTTGGCATTCGACTCACAAATCAGTGATTAAGATGCAATTATTTAATTATGGAGTTATCCTGTTACTGAATATTGATGTGCCTTTGTGAACACTTCTGATAAAAATGAACTGTGGTGATGGCCCTGCCTTCTCACCTGGTGCTCAATCGCTGGTTCAGGCTGTGGCAGCATTTCCACTACAGTAACCATTTTCAGTGCTCAGGGATACTTCTGTATTTACTATAGTGGACAAATTTATGACTCAATTTCTTCTTTTGAAAATTCTTTAGGACTCTCCTGCAAACTTGCGTAATTTTTTCCCTTAACAGCTCCTGGCACTGAAATGCAAACTGTAGCAGAAAAGATGGACTCATATCCTGGGGCTAGTTTTCTGTATTTTTAGGTGTTGTACTTGCATGTATTATCTTAGTGGACACATCTTACATGATGCTGTTGCCAGGATACTTAGCACAACATCAATGCTCTCTACTAATAAATTTGGTCATAGAGTAAACAATAATACTTCAAAGTATGAACTAAAAATGCATTTGGCCATGGTAGCCTCTCTTTCTAGGAAGGATTCACCTCTCAAACAGCTCTTTTCCCTTCTATATTTTCTCACTTTGTTTTACTTCCTTTCCTCAATCTCTTTAATCACAGAGGTGGTATAATTAGATTTCATTAGTAATACTGTTTGGTGATGTGTAGCAGAAATGCTGAGTCACAGCTTGAACCAGTGATTGAGTACCTAGAGGAAGGCAGGGCCAACCTCTAGGTGATGTAAAATCTTGATGTAAAATCACCTGGAGCTCAGGTGCATGCAATGTACTTGAGTGAGCAGAAGGGGGTGGAGGCTGGGTCAGCCCCTTTGCAGACCTCATTTAAGAGTTGGCAGTGGAGGTAAGGGTTTTTTCTGCTGGAGATTCCTGTGTATCTGTGGCCTTCTGAAGGTAAGTGACTTGCTTTTGTTTTTTTTCCCTTGTATCTGTGCTTATACTTGTTGCTTTTGAGGGAAGTTCTTGCTTACTGTAGCTTAGGACTTTGCTACTCTGCTCTCTCTGCTGTGTTTTTCATTGTGTTACTGTATTACAAGATGTTTGCTAATTAAAAAGATTGGGAAGTAAAGGGTACTTTTGGTCCAAGATTAAAAAAAAAAAACAAACAGCTTAAGTAATTAAAATTAGTAGTAGAACGAATTCAAAAACTAGCAACTCTAAAAACTCCTGAATAGTTTGTGTATTTGGTCACCTGTTTTATTTATTTATTTTGTGGATTACCCTGTGGTTTCTGATAATTCGCAGTTATTAGATTCTTTCTATGCATGCAGGAGTCTTTTCTTTTTTGTTGTTCTTACACCTATCTCAGAATCCTTAGTTTCTTGTAGAGGTAATCTCAGTGTTTCTCTCAGAAAGGTTTTTATTCAAGGAAATCAATCATCTTCTATTGCTGTCATCTTCACTTATCACAAAATCGTCAATGTTTAGACTGTCATCCTGCTGATGTGATGGGAACCACAAGTAGTTGTAACAGCACAAAGGAGCCCAGCCTTATCTGGAGTCCTTTCAGGAAGCCTGCAGGCTCCTGATTCGTTATTCTCCAGCTACCCGAGAATCCATTGGACCAGATGAACACAAATGGAGATCCAATTATCAGATCTCGACTCTCCACAGAGTCCATTTCCTATACTGACTATATTGCCAGTGTTGCTCCTCTGTTGAGCAAGATCCTTGTTATTTTTACTCAGAACAAAAATAATGTTGTTGTGTCTAAAGGCTACGTTTTCTCTTTCGCAAGCTCTTCATCCTTTGCATTTAAAAAAAAAAAAAATCTCTAGTCTGCTTTCTTTTGTGGTCTGAGGTTTCTGTATCTCTGCCAAACACTGATAGATTCATTGCAGGCTTCAGCTGCTTTGCAGAATCTGAATAGACACTGAGGCTACATAGGCAGCTTCAATTAAGCAGCTCTATGGAGCTGATATTTTGTTGTTGAAAAACAGTGTCTATTTGCAGGGACACACAAAGCAGCAATTCCAAGGATGCAAATCAGGACAAAATACTTAAAAGATAATAACTATTAAGGCAACTAATTGTAAATGTTCTGCAGAGAATACAAAGACCCATTTACCCAGTTGCTTCCTTCTGCTGTTCCATTGTGAAATTCCAAGTATGCACATTACAGCATTAGTACATATGGCAAAGTAGAATCCCAGTGAGAAATTTCCAGATTCTAGCAGCTAAATTACAGACTTTGAGACAATAAGATTTCTTTTCTAGGAGAAGTGTAGCTATGAAATACACAGAGGTCTTTTTATTCCTACGCATATACACACAGCAGAGATTCTCAGTGCAGTACAACAGTGTATTTTGTCTTTCATCTTGCTTCTAAGACACAAGGATATTGTACTTCATACAGGACTTAAGTGCAGGACGTGGTGGTGTGTTCTCTTTAACTTTTGGTGGTTTTTTCCCCCTATTTACTTTTACTTCCTCTCCTTTGTTTTCTATTTATTTATTTTTTAATTGTCTACTGGTTTATTTGCTGAGAAGCAGAAGAGGAGTTTTTTTTCTTCTGGAGAAAATTTCTTGTGTGTTTTCAGTTTTTGCTGTGTTTGAAACGGTTAAGTTCAGTCCCCACCCCCATTTCCTTCTTCCCCTGGGTGTGGGAACCCAGCGGAACTTTTTTCTTGCGTTCCAATCTGAGCCAAATTATCACAAATTATTCTGTCTGGACTAAGCTATTATTAGATCAGCCAGTAAATCCAGCTGTTTTGGTTATTTCTACAACTGATTTTGCTGCTTGTTTAAAGCCCCGGAAGCACAGCTCTCTCCTTCAAGAACATACTTAACCAAGCATGGGGCTGTGTCACTGGGTCTGCTCAGGTGGAGCTACTCAGGAGCGCTGTCAGAGCCCCATTTATCTCCTGAAGGCTTGTCTTCCCAATTACTTCCATTATTTGTACAGCTTTATCGAGTATCACGATGCTGATGAAATGCTGCTTTGACAGAGCAATGCTGAAGCTGTTGATCACCTGAGAACACCAACATCAATGGATGTGAGGATCAGTTCACACTCGCAGTATGAATGAGTGTAGCTGGACAAGTACTCACTAGAAAATAATTCCTTGTAAGAAACTAAGTTCTCTGTCTCTGTGCCCTTAGTCTTTGTGTATTAGCAGATAATGCTGTCAAGAGAAGTGAAGAAGTGAAGAGTGAGAGTGAAGACACACTTTTTCTACGGGCATGTAAAGCAAAAAAAAAAAAAAGTGCCTCTAAGCTTTGAATACTTGTAGCATTTGCACACAGGCAGTGTGAATACACCAATGGACAACATATCCTGAGGAGTTCTACCTAGTGGTAAGCTACCTCCTTGTGGAGGTAATGTACATTATCACATTGAGCTTTCTTGCAATAAGAAGCAAGAAAAAAAAGAAAATCCTGGTGTAAGGGTCTTAAGCAATGCTGCTTTAGATTTCGATTTTATTTGAATACTGGTTATTTTTACTTGTTTCCAGTGTTAGTGGCTGGAAATAGTTTCCAGTAGATTCTGGAAGTATGTTGGTTATTGCTACCTGAATCTTGTATCCACCTGTGAACTGTATCACAGTCTGATCTCTTCCATTCTAGTGAAATCTGTTCTGGGCCAGTTCCAGGCATTTCTTAATCACCTCTAGCTCTGAGGAGGAACTTGAATGCTTGCTGCCATTGCCCAGTGGCAGAGCTTGGTATATGGCCAAGCTGGCATTTCAGAGACCTCATTGTTCTATATAATCTAAGTACAGGGCTTTCATTTCTAAGTAAGACTTTCTCTGGGCTTTTACAATTGTGTTTTGGGCATATTAGAAACAGTCCTCCCTATTCTTACTACATTCATTACCCCTTTTCCATTATGTCCATGTTTGTCTTCTATATAATTTTAGGCTCCCAGCATAGTGAAAATTCTAAGTCATGGCCTGAAGCAGTGATTGAGCAGGGCCAACCCAGGGGAGCTCAGATATATGCAATGCACCTAAGTGAGCAGAGGGGTGGAACCAGCATCCAGACCTCATTTAAGGGCTGGCAGTGGAGGCAAGGGAATCTCGCTGGAGATCACTGTGTACCCGAGGCCTTCCAAGGGTAAGCAGCTTTTTTTTCTTTGCTTCTGTGTCCATGTCTGCTGCACTTGGGCTTGTCCTCTCTTGCTGCAGCCTAGGACTTTGCTACCCTGCTGTTACTGCTTTGTTTTCCATCATGTTATACTGCTACACCATGTTACTCTGTGGAGCTTCGTATCTAGAAACCTTCTTTGACTGTGATGCAGATCTGGCTATCTGGTTTTATTGCTCTTTGTTACTTTGTGGGTAGTGGTATTTAGGTGCTGAAAACAGGTGTAGCATTATTGCTCTACAGCAGAGAACTAGAGTACAAACAACACATCCTGTTTGTTTTATATGAGGTTCTTGTCTCATACACGTTCCAGTGACTTTACTCCCTTCCGATGTTCCTCACACTTTTCCGTGTTAGAACTGCTTTTTTTTTTTTTTTTTTTTTCTTCTTAGAGATAAGGCCTTCTGGTGAACCTCTTTAGAGTGTCTGTGGCAGAATTGCACCGTAGAGGAATTCCATACCCAGACTGGATCAATTGCAAGGCATTGATCTGGCATTGGAATTTGTGAGGTCTTTTAGCCAACACCCACTCCTCTCATGCAGAGCTCATCTGAAGCATGTGACTTTTGACAACACGTACTTGTGGTGACAGGTTTGACTTGTCTGTAACACACTCCTACTGTACATTCAGTTTCATGACTAGCCTTAGGTCCTTTTATAGCATGTGCTTAGTACTATTATGTCCCTTAAACACTAAATGCTTGGGGTGGGGGTGGTGGTGGGGGGAGGGCAGGAAGATAAAAACTCTTAACGCTCAGGGACTGGAACAGAAATAAAAGCACAGCCCATCTTTTGTATTTATGCGTTATACACATTTTTTTCTTCCTGCATAGTACTTCATTCAGTGCATGGAGTCGATTGTGCTTACTGAGTAAACACAGATATTGCTCAACATGAGGATTTTTTAGTATTTTCTCATCCTGCTCTAATGTACTGTCACATACTTTTTTTTTTTTTTTTTTACTGGCCATGATCCACCTGTTCCAAAGCTGAGTTTTACTTCCTCATGTGCTCTTTCCTCAGTAAGGCTCACTGTGGAGTCGCTGGTAAAAAGCCTTATGAACTGGTTTTATGGTAACTTGTATTACAAGATGGAACGATGTTATTTTGCTTCTAGATACAATCGGGGTGGCCCTGGAAAAAAAAAAGCTGAAACTGTAACTGAGTTTCAAGTGTCCAACCTGAAGTGTAGCCAGATGTTGCATATCACCTTAGTACTGGAATTGTGCACTTCATTGTTTCAAGTGCATCCATAAGACCACTTCTTAAGAGGTTTAAGAGAGCCCCTTGTGAACCTCATGCCAAAACCCACATCCTCCAGCTTCTAAGTTGGAGCTTGGTGTTCTTTAAATGCCTTCCTTCACACAGCTGTAAGGTGATGGACCTCCCAGAGCCCAGATCAGCAGGGTTAGACTGCATTTCTTATCTCCATTTTTTTTTTTTTTTTTTTTTTTGACATCTCCTACACTTCTCTTCCTGTCCAGGTCTTCTCATGATGGAGCAGGACACCTGCCCCGACTGCACCCTGCATCTTTCAGGATGCCAGAGCCCTGCCGTGATGACACCTGCACCTCCACGAACTGCTCGAGTTCCCGGTTTGCCAGCTCCCTCGCAGTAAGCAGCCTTTTTGTCTTCTTACACTTGGCTTTTAAATGCAAGCAAGACCGCTACCGCGCTCCCATCATCGTGTACTGCGGTGCCGCTCGGGACCCATGCAGGCCTGCCCGGCGCGATCCCGGCCCGCTGTAGCCGCGAGGTGCCCGGCGCGGCGCTGCCCGCCGGCGGCCGCAGGTTCCTCCCCTCGCTGTCTCCTCCGCCCCCTTTTGTAGTGGTGCCAGGCGGCCGTGGGGCTTCCTGCTGACGCCGAGCCGCGGATGGGCAGGAAGGGCAGCCGGCGTCTCCGCTGCCTTTCCTCCTCTCGCCGCCGCCGCCTCCTGCTCGGCAGCCGGCCGCCTCCTCGCCCCAGCTCGCCCCGCCGGCAGGAGCGCGACAGCTCGCGGGCAGGGCGCAGGTGCGAGGCAGGCCCGGCGGGGACGGGCTCGGGGACGAGCGGCCGCGCTGAGGGAGGGCGCCGGCCTCCCCCTCCGTCCTGGGAAGGGGCGGGAGGGCCCCCGGCCGGCTATGGTAGCCCCCGGCCTTTGAGCGGCGTCGGCCGCGCCCCCTTGCCGATGGCCGAAGCCTGGAGGTTGGAGGAGGACGAGGAGGAGCTGCGGGAGCTCGGCAGGAGGCACCGCCGGGCCCTGGGCTCGGCAGCAGGTGAGGAGCGGGCGAGGGTCTGGGGAAGGCGAGGCGCCGGTCTGCGGTGTCGGCCGTCTGGGGACCACTAGGCCGAGCGGTCGGAGCCTCCCTGCTGGAAGGACGCGTGGGCTCCCTGCTGTGAGTTGTGAGAGGATGGCCGGGGTGTTCCGTGCTGAACAACTGATGCTGGAGTACCTGGTGTCCCCTCAGTGACCAGCCCATGCCTGGTTGGTGGGACTGGATTCCTACGTTAGGGCGGTTCACATTAGTAGCTCTGCTGAAGTGTGCTGACCCAGTCGGTTTCACTAAAATGAATTCAGTAGGGGTGCATCTGTACCTTGCCTTGTGTCAACTGAAAGCATGTGCTCTGAGGGTGGTGAAGGGTGCTCTGAGAGATTGCTCCTCTAACCTAATGGTGATGTAGATGTGTGTTGCCCACCATGTGCATCCAATTATTTAACATACCGTGAGATAAAATGCGTGACTGATTCATCTTGTAAATCCCAGGGTGGAGGAGCACCTAGATTCAAAAGTTGTCCGCGTGTAACTATTTCCGCGTAGCTAAGGATGGCAAGCCTTGGCAAACAGGAGGTAAGAACTTGTGTGTACAAGAAAGAGTGGAGACAGGAGGTTGGGAGCAAACTTCATAGTGACTTGACGGAAATCAGATTTTATTTGATGTGGTGAAATCCAGTGGGCCCTGTCAGCAGTTGAAGTGATTTCTTTAATTCAGTTCTCATTGTTAATTGACAAGGAATGCCTGTATCACATTTTCCATGATAACTCAATGGGTAAATGTGGCCTTTTTCCTCTTCTCTGTAAAATTTCCTCTAGATCGAATTGTTTTCATAAGGTTTGTTTCCAGGACAATTACCAGCTACTCTTCGTGTTTCAAATTGGATTCCAAATACAGTGGCATTTAGTAATTATCATAGAACCTTAATAATTTAATAACTTTACAATTCATGCGGTTTTGCATCCTTTTAAGCAGCAGGAACATTCCCTTGTAGATGAGAAAAACATAGCAATTTGAAGGATCTTACTGCAGAGGAAAGCTCACAACATGCTTGTCCTGTGGCTCCCCACAGCCCAGCTGTGTGAGTGCATTCCTGGGCAGGTGCTAGATTAGCAGCTGCCATTGTGGCTTGGCACACGCGCAGCATTTCGCCTCATCGAGGGCAGGGTGCAAAACTAGCGTTGGTTCCTGTGCAGCTTCTTCAGTAGCAAAACATGAGCTGCTAGTTCTGGTGTCTGTTCTTTAAAGGTTTGTTTGGAGACTTTTATTGGTGGAAAACATTTCTTTCTGCTGTTCATGTATATACATATGTAATCTTAGTTTTCTTGTTGTGAAACAAAGCTTGTTCCTGGATTTTCTCTTGGGTGTAATGCTACTAATGAGTAGTAAATAGCACTTCTTCAGTTTTTAAATTTTCATTATTATTTTGTCCTGGCATCCCTCTCTAAAGCAGCCAGACACTGCCTACCTGACTTGTGTAAAGAATGTGTAAATGATGAATGTTCTGCTGTGGCTGTCGCTCCTCCCTTCCATCTGTTCTAAAGACAGTGCATTGGAAAGCAGACGTAAAGCCTGCCAGCAGTGTTATTAAGGCATCCGTGAGAAATAACTTGTTAGGTAGATGAGTTTGTTGTCCTTCCCTTGTTTGATGGTTTCTTGTACTGTAATCTACAAGCCTCTTGAAAATTGTATTTTTTGTGTGTTATGTGCAGTTACAATAACAAAACATTAGCGTAGTTCGGCATTGAATAACTTAGTGAATGTTTTTACAGGGCTTGAAAGGAGCTGATGCATCTTAGCTGGCTGTCAATTGAAGCATTTCAATCTGTTAAACTAACGGTGATGATGTGCAAGTTTAATTTCTGGTAGGTTTGGTGTATGCATGAGAGTAGGGGCAGTTGCTCACCTTTGCCCTCCACAAACAAGGCTTGTATGCAAAGCAAGAGGCAGTTAGTTGAAAGGTGAAAGTTCGGAAATGCTTCAGTGTTATAAAACACTCAGACGTGAAATTAGCAGTGCTTTACTGGAGGACCAGAGTACAGGATGCCATTGAATGAAGGGCTGTTTGTCCAGGAAGTTAGTTGCAGTTGTGCTACTCTGGACACAAGAGGGTGAAGCAAACTAATCTAGCAGCTTGCTGTTCGGGGGGGGGGGGGGCGGGCCACGACTTCCTTGGACGTACAGTTCTGTTCTCTCTGGGGTCACAAGCTCTGCTACTTGTCTGACCTGCTGGTGAGCCAAGTGTGCTTTTGTGGCAGCCTGGGCTGATTGCTCTGGTGGCTGTGGAGGCTGAGCTCAGAGTTCTTGTGTTCACTAGGACGTGCACCAACCTGTTTCAGTGCACTGGCCCAGCAGAAAGCTGTTTTTCGTCTCTTTGGTAGATGACGTTCTGCTGATTCAGCTTGCTGGAGTGCTTCTGTACAGAATCTGATGAATGTTGAAGCTGGCACAAAAGAGAGAGTGGGAACATGAGGCCTGAGGGAGGTAAGATTCTATGCCAGCCAGGAGTTAGTTTGGCTTTGATTGTTGAGAAAATATAGCTTGAGCTGTTGGAGATCTACTTGTGTGTTTTTCTTTTTTTCATGGATTAGATAGGGTGTTTGGATTTATTTTTGCTGGTTTAATAAGCTGAAGGATCTTGCTGAAGCAGTAGGCAAGTGTCAGCACTGATGTTAAAGTAGGGAATGGGTACTTGTAGATATTGCTGGATGAGGTGGGATCAGAGCCTTGCTTGTCCATGACAGTTCATCTTACATAGCTTAAGTACGTTGTGTGATTGCCTATTTACACCATTGCATGTCATGTCAATAGGTGAGTTATCTCTGAATTCAAGAAAGCTTTTTTTGATTAGCATATTCTGGAAAAACTGGAAGAAAACAGGAGCAAAGCACTTGACGAATCGTATTAATAGAACGGTTTTCTTTTTGAAAAAATGCTGGTTGTCTTGGTTTTATTTCTTTTCACTGTTCAAGTAATAGGAAATAAAACTAGGATATATTCTTAAAAAAAAAAAAAAGCTACACAGATAAATGAGATGGATTTGCTCCTATGAGGAACTTGTTTAAACAATATAAATAAAATAATGTGATTCTTTATTCCCTTCTTTTGTTCCATATTTGGGCTGCATACATTCTTATTCAAAGAAGTTACAGAAAACATTCTAACAGAATCTTGAATTTCAACAGATTTCTTTTAATTTAGAGTATTAGTATTCTTACTTTATTAAAAAAAAGTGCTGTGAATATTAAAAAAGAAAAATCAAACAAACTTAAGATGTTCTATTCCTTTAGACTTATTTATCCAATTTAACTTTGGACTCTGTGGTATGCTTTCCTGTGTTGAGTAGCTTTGTATTTTGTGTGTACATAGTAAAATAAGTGCATTTCCAGGAGACCTTATAGTGAGTCCAGTAAATCTTAGTTATGAATTGCTTTGGTTAATTTTGTGTCTGTCCACTAAGGACTTGCCCTTTTAGGAGTGAGAGAAAAATCTCAGTATTCTGGTGTTACCTGAAGCACATGGGAAATTTAAACTCATATATGTCATTTCACTTTGAATTCTAGTCAGTGTTCCTACAAAAAGATGAATCTGTAATGGAGGTAGCAGATGTTTCTTTACTCCAAATAAGAAGAGAAATAGCCAAATGTAGAAGTCAGTAATAAAATTGAAGTTCATAATGAAGAGCTATTGTGATTTTTAATTTAATGTGCAGTTAAAACTATAGATGGCCAGTAGTACAGAAAGACATTAACCTAATTTAATATTATTTTGTTTTTATGGCAAATGTTTGTCTGTGGTTTGCTCCTGCACAGTGGCTATAAATTTTGATATGTTGACTAAAATATCTGATGATTTTTTTTCCTGTTTCTTCCCACAGTTTGGGAGTGTTTTCTGGAACTTATCAGCTCTATTGGGCATATTTAGGTTATGGGTGAAATTATCGGTTTTTGGTTGGTCAGTTGAATGGATGTTTTGGTTTTCAGCCAAAACAAGATCCAGTTAAGATGGATCAATTTTTTTATACTCCCACAACTCCCACATCATACTGGTGCTGACTAGTTTTGGAAGCTGAGAACAATGAGCTGTGTCAAATGTGACAAATTAAGGTTGAACATTGCCCCTCTCAACATGCTGAGAAATTAAGGCGGTATGTTGGTGGAGTGTGGCTGAAGAAATGCAGGGAACAGTACTTCGCAGGCATCAGGGACTCTTTTTCACAGATAATATTTGCTACAGGAGTGCTGTAGTTGTTCCCAAATTACTTCATATGTGTTCAGTCTCCAGGATAAAAGAGTAAGGTCTGAGACTGTTCATGAAATTCAGCCTGTAACTGATTGAGTGATGATCTTCTTTAGGGTTC